AGCTATTGGAATATATGTTAAATTATTTATTGGACATTCACGTGGCATATACATAAGTCTACCCGGTTGACGTGGAATAACAAGCTCAGTAATAACTTTTTCATCATTGTCTTCGATTAATATTGGTATTGATAATGAAACACTTGCACGAAAATCTAATCGTGCAAATGATTGATTTTTATCATTTTGAAAAGATAACAAATCAATAAGATGTGTTATTGCACCACCAGGTGCACGTGCTGCTATTTCACAAAGAACAAAATCATCATCAGGTAAACGATTTTTATCAAGATTTTCATATAATTCTAAATGAAATACTAAACCTTCAGATGGTTTTGGTAAAATATTTAGAAGACGTTGTGCAGTTTTACGTAAACGTTCATGAAGTGGATCTGATCGAGGAATAGATGAATTTCCACAAGCTTTTCCTTCTTGTGAAAAATCTAAACATGTATGAAGATAAGCAAATGGCCATGCATAAATAATTTCACCATTTTTAGCAATACCATTAACATGAAACATACGTCCATTCATATATCCTTCAACCATAAATTCTCCCACTAAATCCATTCTTTGATCAATATCAATAGATGCAAAAAGTTTTGATGAAAGAAATATTTCTAATTCATCTTTATTTCTTATTAAATGAATACCAGATGTAGCACAACCCAAAGTTGGTTTAACTACAACTGGATATTCATTTTTTTCAATAAAACCAATCAGATCAGCTGGTGCATATAAACGAGTAAATGGTGGTACAGGAAAACCACCTTGAGAAGCAATTTCTTTCATACAAACTTTTTCACGATAAGCAGGTACTAAGTCAGCAGTTAAACCAGTATTTATATTAAGTAAAGAACGTACATGAGCTGTTCTCATAATTAGATCTTCATTGTTTGTATAGACATGTGTAAATGAATGTTTTTTATGCATTTCAAATGCCCATAATTCAAGTGTACCATCTGTTGTTGGATGAGCTATTTCCTTATAGGCTCGAATGCGTGGACAAGATTTATCTTTTTCAGATAATGCACCATTACTAGTAATAATATATAATTCTATATCGTCATCATCATCAATAAAATCGGACCATGAATGTGCAGCTATCGCAGATGGAATTTGACAATCATCTAAGATTAAAACACGTTTTTCAACCATATATAATGTCTAAAGAACAATCGATGGCGCTTCTGCACTTAACAAATTTTAATGAACAATATGTTTTTGTAGGATGTTCTAGAATGAAAAAAATATATATATAAATAATACGAGCATGATTTTAATAAATTTATGTAGTTAAAACAAGTCTTTGTGTTGATTGTTAGAAATGTCAAAAAAAAACTTTTTTTTTTGGATAACCAGAAAAACTGTGGACACCTCTTCTAGGCTGCGCTTTTTGTTTTAAACTGATATATAGCCTTTTTTTGTAGACCCCGGCGTCTATAAGGAGATATTTCAGTTAAAAACAAAAAGCACAGCGTAGAATGAGTGTCCATATGAGATTCATTTCAAACTCTGTCCTTTTTTTAAATGAAATATTCATTATCTATTCAGATAAGATAAAGTTATTTATTCAACGGATTAGAAATTAAGTGTGAAATGTTGCGGGTTGTAATGAATATATTGGATATTGCTATCTAACAATAGATCAAACTCAAATTCGTTTGATATTATAAAAAGAAGAATAGATTGTAATGAAAATTAAAGGATATAATTTGTTGTTTTCATCGGATCTTAGAATATCTAAGAAACTATGATCGATATCTCAAGAAATCGACAGTCTCTAACTTATCAATCATTGTATATCTCTTATTATCAGATAGGACTCTCAGATCTGTCATCATTGTTGAAATATTAATTGACACTCGTTTAAGCCATCAATCAATGCTTATTTCCTTATCATGACAATTTGATATATATGTTTATTAGTAAGTATAAAGAATAATTCGATGATTTAAGACAAATCATATAATTTTTTTCATGTACATCGATTAAAAATAGATGCTCTTGATCATACTAATCAACACTAACTCACTCAAGAGTTGAGCAAAAATTTAATTTTATAACGATTTCAATAGTAAAAATATGTGCTTTAACTGATTCAGACTGTGGATCCAGTTTTAATAATTGGTTAAATCATACTTTATAATTTATTCTAATACTATTGAAAATCGTCTGATAATTTTTCAATGAAAAATCACTATTTAATGTCATTTTGATGAGTGATGTAACCAGGATTTTGCCGATGAGAAGTTCACTCGGATATGAAGAAATCTGTAGCAGAGCAATTTTGATCGATGTAGAACTTAGTCATCTATTGATTACGTCACTAATCTTGATACAACAAAAAAATAAAAATAAAAATTCAAATATCAAAAAAAGAAAAACAAGGTTTTTTGAATAGTTAAAATTTCATGGATAAAATCTATGCAACTTCTATAAATATACTTTGTACCCTGTGTAACAACTATTGAGTCGAGCAACGTGCCTGAGCACAATAAAAATACGACAAAAGAAAAGAAGGAGAATATAATGTGCGTATAGTTCTTTTTTTTTGTCACGTAGCAAATAAAAGGTCAAATACAACAAGAAACAAAAAAAAAGAAAAGTCACGTGCCATTGTCACGTACATGTACTCCATATCGATGAGTTTTATGAAAATGATGATGATGATAAATATTAAAGCCAAGACGAGCAAAAATTCGTCGTTTTATAGCAAATAAATCATCTTGTACTAATTTAAAACACATTGTTGTTAAAACAAGTCCATATAGAAGATAGAGTGCACATAATATTGATTTACCATTTTTATTATCTGTTAATGTTCCTTTACCAGGTACTAAATCACCAAGACCTATTGTAGTAAATGTAATAAATGAAAAATAAGCAGCATCAATATAAGACCATCCTTCCCAATGAGAAAATAAAACAGCACCAGCTACAATATATAATGCAAGTACACTTATTGTAGCTGTAATTGGTACATGATGTTGTATAGTTCTATTTTCTATCTAGAATTTAAAAATATGAATAAAATTTTTAAATTTACAAAAAATTTATTATTAACTTCAAAAGATAATTTTATTTCTTGTTGTTGTCGTCGTCGTTTTTGTGGTTTGATTAAACGATGAATCAAATTACTTGTTGTAGAATAATATTTGATAAAGAAAAAAGCAAGTAAATCACCTGTATTTGTTAAATACATAATCATAATAGGAATTCCAATCACTGCATATAGACATGTGGTTAATTTGCCTAATATCGACTTTGGTGTAATATTTCCATATCCAACTGTAGTTATTACTGTTGCTGAGTAAAGCATAGCTGTTGAAAATGTCCATTTTTGATTATATGTTGCATCTGTTCTTGTATCATGTTTATCAGATAATTTTTCTTGTTCAGCTTGCATACGTGCAAGTTCATCATTAATTAATCGATCAAATCTTTCACTATGAACTTGTATACGCCAACCCGTATCATCATAACCATCAAGACGTGATAACATACCACGCCATAATGCATAATGTAATTCAAATGATGCATTTAACATCCAATTAAATTCATCCGTAGCTATACGACGAATATTATGAATACCATGTAAATGTTTTATTTTAATTTGTTCATTTTTACGTGATTCATATTTTGATTCAATTTCATAAAAAATAAAACCACCAAATACAATATAAAGAAATACTAGAACGAATAAGCCTAATTGTGAACATAAACCTTGCCAAATAAATTGACAAAATTTTTTTCGAAATCGTTTCCAAATACATAAATCGCAGCAAATATGAACAATAGAATTTTGTTCTGAAGTATTAATAAGTATTGAAGGAGGTGATTGATTTTTAATAGGAATTGGAATGTCACCATTTTCATCAAAAGATACTAATGGTGCAAGATTTGATTTGGTTGATAATGATGGTAGATGAGATATTTCACTTGAAATAATTTTAAACTAAAAAAATTATAAAAATTCTATATATATATATATAGAATGAAAAGTAAATTGATATTAGTCTTACAGGTACAAATGTTGATGTACTATATTTGGGGTAACTACGACGAGCGGCATAATTCATTTTCTTTTCTTATCAACAAATGATTTTCTGAATTTTTCTAAGCTGTTTTCAAATGTCTTTCTTTCATTTTTCTTTTCTACTTCTTATTCTCTCTGTAGCATTGTTCGATCAATCACTCTAAGCTGTGATTAGTATTCTATACCTGTTCGTCGTCATCATAGTCTTCGTCGTCATCGATATTAATGACTGGACTATTTTTAGTTGGATCCCACATAATCATTTGCACACTAATGGAAGTATAGAACACATTGAAATGATCATCAAACAAATGTATTGACAAATTCAATTGTCTTTTCTTTTTGTTTTTCTGAATCCTTTCTGATAATGAATGTTTACAAGGGCAAACATTATATTCTCATTTCCGACTGTATTACTCTATATGATACTTGTATGTTAATCATAGTTTGTGAAACTATTGAGTGGTAATTGTTTGATTGCAATCGTTTATATAGTGCTGAAACATACTGACATCAACGTCAGCGTCTTTTTTTCTCTCATGAATAATAGTTCAATGAGATAGTATTTGTTGAAATGAAAAATTCTATATCTCAGAAAGCGAAATTTGATTTTTCTGTTATTTTTTTATATGGATTTATTATTTGATTTCACATGGCTTCAATCAATAAAAATAATGATTTAAAGAAAAAACCACCTTCAGTGGCAATGATTCATTATTTTCATCACAAACACTCTTCTTTACTGATATGTTCTGCAATTTTCTTTTTTTTTCCTTCATGTCCAATGCTTGTGCAGCAGTATGTTATATCTACCACAGAATGAGAAAAAGAAAAAATTATTATGCGTCCTTTAACACTACATTTTGTGTGTCTTATCACAAACAAACAAAATACTACTAGTTATCTGAAAGTATTTTTTTTTTCTAAGAAATTTTAGATTAGTTTTATTGCGATATTCAATATGTCTAAACGTCATCAGCCATTGAAAATAATTGAAACGTTCGATGAACAATTATCATCATTATCATCAGACGAATTAAAAACATTTGTTGCTCATGTTCGCCATCGTTTAGATGATATCAATGAAAAAGAAAAAGCTCCTCAAGAAGAAAATAATATTTTTTCTCGAGTTAGTCTTTTATCATTATTATTAATTCTTCAATCTGCTTCATCATTTATTTTACAATCATTTTCGGATCTTATATCACATCATATATTAATAACAATGTATTTAACAATGCTTGTCGGTGCTGGTGGTAATGCTGGAAATCAAGCAGCTGTATTAGTTATTCGTCGTTTAGCAACATCTAATTCATTTTCAATACGATCACTTATTATACGAGAAACATTGTCAGCAGTGATTATTGGTACTATTGTTACATTAATTGGCTTTATTCGCGTATTGCTTGAAGAACGTGGTGCTCTTTTACCTTCATTAACTATTGGTGTAGCTTTATTTTGCATTATTACTACATCGATTGTGCTTGGTACATTACTTCCAATTATTTTACAACGTGTTATCCATATTGATGCTGCTCATGCAGGTCCTATCATTCAAGTTATAATGGATATACTGGGTGTATGCATCACATGTGCTGTAGGACAAACATTTCTTGTCAATTTATCTCATGCTAAACATAAAGAATTATAACCAAAAATTAGTTTTACCCCTTTTATATTTAATTTTATTTTTTGTCATATGAGACATTAATTAAAGAAAAAGAAAAACAGAAAATTTTTTCTGACGTTGGCTATCTGTGATACATTACTTGAGGATTTCAGCTGACATATATTAATCAGCAAATGGCAAAGAAAACAACAGTTCGAATACCAATGTCAACAACAGGGTTGTCATCACCTTATGTAAGAAAAGCAAAAGGGTTATTGAAGAAAAGTGGAAGCAAAAGCAGGAAAACAAATGAAACCAAAGCGGACAGCTATTTGTGTTTATATGGATTCTTTAATAATATCTTGCTTCTTTCCGTGATACTTCTTTATTCTCAAAGTTCCAAAACGTAGTAAATAATACATAAAGAAAATGAATGTTTTCATAAGGAGATCAGATTTTGAATGCGAACATATGTATCATTTAAATTATTTTTCGTTTAGAGACATTTCTTTTTTGACATAACAGCTGTTTGTACGACAATAAAGTATTTTTGTTGTTATTAAGTCTATTGACATTCAGTTGCAAAAACACATTGGATAAATATCTCATTTCCGAAAAAATACTTTGGCTATTGACCTTGTTTTTTAAAATAGAACATAGAATGAATCATATAGACAGTAATAGACTGCGAACGATACATACTCGACAACTGATTTCATATTACCAGAATTTAACTATCTCAAATTTTTGAATAAAAAATTTAACAAAATTTCTCATATGAAAAAAAAGGAACAAGTGGTACCCTTGTTCATTAACTACTTCTTTGGTTGTATATAGTGATTGTGTAACGAATAATCTCATGGGTCAACACCACTATGAGCAACGGCAGTTTTTACATGAACTACTTATGGACAATACGTTGATGAATTGTGACAATGAAAAATTAACAAATAAAAACGTTACTGAAATTAGTTCCTTAGAATGATCAAAACTTTCAAGTGTTTCTTATTAAAAGAAACTATTTTTCTGTCTGAAAAATTCATACACAGTGCATGAAAACGTGAACATTTGGTAAAAAAATCAAAGTGATTTTTTTTGCGATTTGATTTATGTCAAATAGATTCCGCTGGGTTTAATTTTTTTCGAACTCGGACTCAATCGGATTTTAGTTCGACACTAACTCAGCCAGTGCTAATGCCCAATACACTTTGGTCAATGGCCTAATTTTTTATTTAAAAAAATTCATCACTTTCAGGTCTTTAAGAGAAAAATAAGGACATATTTTGAATTAACATGAAAAATTGCATTGAATACTGTATGATTGTTAATTTTTAAAACATTTTTTCCATCGGTTTTATGTTGAGTGCTGAAATTTAATATTTTCATAAAATAAAGGCATTTTTGGTAGAAAATAAGCCATAACTACGTGCTCTATAGGAGTTGCCCACTATACTATGATGGTGACAATCAAGTTCGTATGATTGATACTCTTTTCAACACGTTTTTCATCAAAATGGTATAGCATATTTTTAATGGTGGAGTTGAAGGATAAAGTCATTATGTATTAGTTATTAATATAAATTAGGAAAATGAAGAAAAACGATTAGATCTTGTCCCAAAAAATCTTCAATATTATTCAACACTTCAAGCTGAACTTGAAATTATTAGTTCATTTGTATTTCATAATTATTGTATGTCATTCTCATTTTTATTTTCTAATGAAGACATAGTTGACTGAAAAAAAAACTAAATGAAAAATCAATTTGTTCATTATAATGAATACGAAAAATTTATTAATATTACTTGAATGGTTAGTTGCACGTCACGTTCTTGATACATTGAGATATGGATCAGAATTTCTTTCATAAGTGTGAAAACCATCATTTTAGACATTTATTTCAAATGAAACAAATGCAGCCTTTGTGTGTGTGTGTCATCAATCATTTTTTCTGTGACTTAAATTTTTATTTATTATGAAACTTGCCATACTTTTGTTTGAGACTCTCTTTTCATCCTATTTTTTTTTCTCTTCATATCACCTCTTTTGTCATTCCTTTTGTTGTCTATCTTTGTTTCATTCTTCATTCACGTTTTCTCATCATATTTTAACTACTAAGCTTGATATCTTGCAAATCATTTTTTTCTTTCTCTGTATGCATTAAAACAAGTCGTGGTCGCATAATAATACATTTTTGAATGCTTATAGGGTAATCATTGTAAGCACTTTCAATTGCAAAAATAAAGAGAACAAAATAACAAAAAGAAAACATTGATATATGCACATGCTCGTCTTTTTCTTATTAATGGATGTGACTCATTAGTAAGGACTCGAATCCTTATACTATCCGACCATGTTCGATAACAGTTAATGTATTACATCTTATTTTTATTTTGCATGATTAGACTAAACCTCAGAACATTTTCAAACACAATATCTACTAATACTATTTCTAAGTTGGTTGAATAAGATGACTTCTCTGGAATAAAAAGTTAGTGAATAGATATATTTTATTTTTTAAAATTATATGGTGAAGGAATACATGACTTTCTCATCTAATTTAAAAATTTTGTTTTCTGATTATCTTTCATCCCACGAGATCTGTTTTTTTCTCTTGAAATCTAGGTGAATAAAGTAGAGCAGTCTCAGATAGAAAACTTCGGGAAATCGTAGCGGATTTTTGATTGGATTCGGTGAGCTCCCATCGGAAATCCAAAGATCTGAGTATTGAAATCATTGACATAGAAGTTCATCAAAGAATTAGTTATTTTCCAGAACTTGATCAAGGCAAATTATCATCATTCGTAACGATGAAAATCAGATTTCTTTATCTTTCTTTATCTAATGTGTTTTTATC